ACTTCCCCAACCAATGCGAACTCTTCAGGAATYCCCGCGAGAGCTCAACCGGAACTCAACGGGAACTCTGGGAGARCTCAAAAGTCATCATTTTAATGGCTCGMTGGCGTCACCTCTCAACCACTACTTCTGGCAAAAATGCCATGCGTCATCCYGACTCCGCTGTGGCCCTCAACAAAAGAGAACTTGTTGCACTGGGTGGACTTGAGTTTTGTTTCAAGGCCTTCCATGGTTCGAGAAGCGGAGAGAAAACATAAGTGACCACTCCATGAGTAAATCTAAACATATACTATATAAACRACTGTACAATATGCACACAGATATCTGTTGTACAGCAGTGAAAAGTTAGCTACATGCATCTTRTAACGTGGTACTGTAAAAAATAAGCCCCAGACAACTATACAGTATAGTGTCCTTTGGTCACGTTCAAAACAAATGAAACTAAACAGTATAATATGCAGACAAATGTATGCATATATACACGCACATACAAATATGTGTTGATCAAAATGAAATTCAGCAGAGGGGAGGCAGAGGAAGGGGATGAAGGAGGAGTATAGAGGTATCTGTAAGTTCCTGGTAGTGTTTTAGTTTGGGGRCTTCATGTTGGATTTATGAGAGTTCTTTATATGATTAAAGTATTAAATAAATCAATATAAAAATTAATTAAAAGAGGACCATGAATGAAACAAATTCATGTTGTAAAAATTAACAATTATGATTGGGCCAATCCTTTGTAMCTGAGGATCTTAATGATGTATAGAAATGAAAAGGATAAAGATATTGTTGTGGTTATCAGATACATAGAAAATGGGATAAAATTGAGACCTCAAAAGTATATTGCACAACTAGAGATGCCATTGCAGAAAAATGTACACAGTATGATTTCATCTATATAGAGTTCAAGGAGAAAACCCAAGCACTATTTATTTAGGAAAACCTATGTAGGTGGCAAAACTCTAAAAGAAAATCGAGAGGATGGTTGTTACAAAAATTAGAATAGCAGTGACTTCACAGGGTGGCTGGGAATGGGAGCAAAGAATTTATAAACCACTGATCACGTTCTATGTTTTAACTTGGGTGGGGGGTCCCAGGAGGTTCACTTTTCACTCTTTCTGATACATATCTACTCTCATTTTCACAGTTTGAAAATGGGAATGAAGTAACTATACCTGCTGGTGCTAGAAAAATGTTGTTTACAAGCCAGTCATCCATTTCTTAAGAAACAGAGGCAGCTTTAAGAAATGCATCAACTTAAGCTAAAAGGGAATAGTCTGCCTTCCTRTATGTAAAAATGAAGCCAAGAACTGAAAAGTCATTTTCTGAAAACAATTCTGAGTCCCTTCRAAAATTTTCTTCCAAACATTAATGCCACTGGACTACCCAATGTCTTTGAAGATTAAAAGAGTATGACTTTGATTTTATTAGCTTTGAAACTCGTCTTCATGGCTGTTTCTACAGCAGCAGAAGGAAGTGTTTTCTTTGTACAAGTGCCAAAGAACAGGAAACCAGTCATTTTKCAAATACATAGCACCACATCAAAAGAAGAGAAACAGGGCTGGAGGTGCAGCTTAGTGGTAGAGTGCAAGAGCTTAGCATGCAGGAGGCCCTGGGTTAAGTTCCCAGTGCAACAAACAAAATAAAAGTCCCAGATGGCATCTGCCCATGGCCTTTTTCCAAACTTCTGCCTAATGGAAAAGATCAGTAGAGTCAGAGGTAGGCTTAGGTTGAAGCAGGAACTGAAAGCATTTGCAATAATACTCTGCAAAAGCATATAATAAAAGAATTGTAGTCCAAATTTTTAGAGTAGTGTGTGAGACAGAAAGACTCCAATTTTATATATAGGGAAAACTGATGTATCAAAAAGAATTCTCAGCCATAGTAAGCRCTATTGTATAAAAGCTTAAGTTGTCAATCGAGACAACTCTAGAAACAGTTTAAGATCCTTTCTTTTACGTACTTTTGTCTAATAGTCAGACATATGAATGATAAATGCATATTGCTACTTTACTTCTAGAATATTTACTTGGGCTGTATCTGAAATGCAGATAACTAAAGCAAAGGAATTAACATTTGTTTTCTATACTGCAGAAAACACARTTCCTGGTTATTGACTAGGTGTACCCCACAAAAAATAAATGGAGGGTAGAATAATMCATGCAGACTTTTAGTCCTGAATAAAGAATAAAAAATTTATTCTTCCTAAAATTTCATGCACAGTTATTGGACCTGTGGAGAAACAGATTATATAACCATGTGTTAGAATAGTGTTTTAGATGGTCACSTAATCCTCATCACCAAAAAGAGAACCAGGAATTTGAAGGCTAATAAATTTCTTCTTAATTTCYTCATCACAAGTATCACTCTAATGATAAATAATCATGATACATATTGCTATGTATCCATCCATAGACACTAATACTAATTAAGATGGTAATTGTGATGATGATAATTGTGACAGCTCATAATTTTTTTTCTCCTTGATATGTTTAAAAGATACTCTTCAGAGTACATTATTCTGTATCTTCATATGGAAATCAGCGTTGACTTTGAAATTAGAGACTGTCTCACATGAGAACCCAAATAATYGTAATTTTTTATTGAGAYAGGAATTTTGGTATACCTACACAGCAAAACTGTCAAGCAACCAATAATTCCAAATCATTCTAAATTTCTAGAGATAATGTAAGGAATACTGGGTTCAAAATGCAWGGAAACTTTATTACATCGACAAGTCACTTTTCAGTTTTCCCATCTATGATAGCCACAATAATGGTGAAGATAAAATAGAGACATGAAYTGAAGTTCCTAGAATAGTGCCTGAACCCAAATAGGTGCTCAACAAACATCTGTGGAATTTAATGCTGATTCAAAAGCTACTGGAGGATATTTTAGGAAAGACTCTAGTAGCAAGTGGAAGAATCCAGTGTAAGCTGATTTAAGCACAAAGTGATTTATTGTTTCAGAAAAATCAGAAAGTAGAGAGGGGATATGGGCTTTAGTAACAACTGGATCTCAAAACATGAGTGAGGTCAGTAGGACCCTACCCCACCGCTGGTTCCACTTTGTTTTAGTTACTCCATTCTCAAATAGGCTCTCTCTCCCCATACAATGGCCACCAGCAATTCCAGTCTTTTACCTCTGGTGGACTTCGTGATAATYCACATGGTTCTAACAGATGTACTGATGATGAGTCTTACTGATGAAGTCTGGCTCATCTTTGAGTTGAGAGMGGGAGGGGCAAGCCCTGTCCAACCCCATGGATGATTCCCCAGAGGAGAAGAGAGATTATTTTACCAGAAGAAGCTTTTCACACTTTGCTCCAATGAATGAGGACTATCTAGTGGGGCTGGGAGAGATTTGATGGTCAGAAAAATCATACTTTGGAATGTATCCTTCTCTTGTGCATTTATAGATACAGAGACTACCGGGACCCTCCTCATTCACTTGTGCCCTATGGCTACACACTGCAGTTCTGGCACGTGCTAGCAGCCMGATTGGCTTTTATCATTGTGTTTGAGGTAAGTTTTCTCAACCATTTCCATTGTTTTCTTTAACCTAATGAAGTCACTAGAAGCCATCCAAAAGGCTAAGTGATGAGTATTTGCAATGTGACTGTCTACTTCCAAAAGTAGCATCATCATATTATGTTGTATTTTTTTATCTTTTCTTTTTCTTTAATTGAAATATTTGAACTTTCAAAGAAATATTTGCAAGTCCATTACTGATTGGTTGTTAATGGAAAAGTCAGAAATCATTGGTAATAAATTTAATATTTCAGGACCATGATTCTTAAACTTTAGGAAAAATACAATGTTTCCCACCGCTATTTATAGAGATGCTGGTACTTCATGACTAAGATTTTTTTTTCACTAGCCCTCCATGATGATTCTGTTGCAGGAATTCAAGGAACATAGTTTGGAAGCATTGAAATGAATGAATATTACAAGTGGTACCTCTGATTGTATGTCATCATGGAATTATTTATACTCAAACACACAAATAAGTACTCATTACCTAAGATTCAAAATAGACTTATAAAGTATAATCTTCCTAGCAATTTCTTGTATTATGTGTCAATAAAAATATATCATCTATTTCCTTTCAGTCTTTTAGAATATTGCTATTAAAATAGTTGGCATTCCTGCAACTCTAGTCATAAATGTAAAATTTCTTCATACTTTTGGAGACTATTCCATCGTGGTTATTTTCTCCACTCCACGGAACTAAGAAAAGATAATATTAAGCAGCTTTTTCCTGAAAATTAGCTTCTCGATGGGTCAGTTACTTTTTAAATATTTTGTTTTTTGTTTTTGGTACTGGTGATTAAACCCAGAGCCTCTTTACTACTAAGCCACATCCCCAGCCCTTATTAAAAATGTTTTTTGAGYCAGGGTTTCCCTGAGTTGCTTAGAGCCTTGTTAAGTTGCTGAGGCTAGCCTCAAACTTGTGATCCTTCTGCCTCAGCCTCCCAAGTTGCTGGGATTACAGGTATGTGCCACCACACCCAACTTGAAGATGATATTTTAACCTAACAGTCTTGACAGTTTTTCAGACAAAATAACGAGGGAGCTTCACTCGGTTAGTATTCAACTTTTCAAGAAGAACTTTTCCTTTTCTCTCAACATGCCATTATTAACTGTTTCAAAATACTAGCAGACTGGGGTTATAGCTCAGTGGTGGAGCGCTTTGCCTAACACATGTGAGGTTCCATCCTCAGCACCATATAAAAATAAATCAATAAAGGTTATTTTGTCTATCTGCAACTAAAAAATATTGAAAAAATAAATAAAAATACCGGAGACACACAGGAAAGTTTCTTAATTGGCAGAATTGTATGTAATCTATGTGCCAAGTTTATCAAGTTTCAAATAAAATGAAGAATCGTTAGCACAACCATTGAACATGATTTTTGTCGCTAATAAATACTTAAGAACTCTAAAGGCCTTTACATTGTCATCTGGTACTTTATTGGTCTCCAGGAYATAGATGAACAGAAGTCACCATGATTCTAAAGTTACACCTATTTGTATTTCAGATAAAGAATTTGGGGCAGTTTTACCAAAAACTGAAAGGAGCATTTCCCTGGATCTACTGATAATTCTTACGACCAAGTTTCATAAAAAATTTGGCCATCTACAAAGCATTTTTAAATRTTTTCTTATAATTTTCACTGTACCACACATTCTATAGATGAGTGAATGGAGGCTCAAAGCAGTTAAGTGACTTATCAGATAGACAGATGCTCTGAGATAGTGAGAGCTGCCAAGCCGGACCCACTCCTAGGTTTCCTGATTCCAGGGTATAGGATATTCTGGGTCTCCTTTGAACTCTCCAGGGGTGCCTTCCACAYCTTCTCCCCTGACTGCTCTTCCTCTTCCCTGGGTGGAGCACTCAGACCCTGTTCAGCTCTCACCCATCCGTTGTCTTTTCTCTGCTGCCTCCCCAGCCCCATCCCACTTCTCACACACCCCACAGGCTCCTTCTCCAGCCAACCCCTGGAGCTCCTTCTGGAGCAGGATGGACCACACACCTGACTCTGTTGTGTTCTCCTCTGTTGTGTTTCTAGCACCTCGTGTTCTGTATAAAGCACCTCATTTCCTATCTGATCCCAGACCTCCCCAAAGATCTGAGGGATCGCATGAGGAGAGAGAAGTACCTGATCCAGGAGATGATGTACGAGGCGGAACTGGAGCGCCTCCAGAAGGAACGAAAGGAGAGGAAGAAAAATGGAAAAGCACATCACAACGAGTGGCCGTGACCAGGTAGGGCAGAGGTGTGCGCCTGGCCAGGAGCCTGGGGGTGGGAGSGGCTGCTTTAAACCCTGAAACAAAGCTCACCACGGTTCCAGTAATAGGGATTAAAATAAGCTCCTTAGAAGCTTCCAAAACCAGTTTGTTCCCTGAATCTTTGCAACTTGATCTTCCCCTGCTTCTCACCTCCAGATTGCTCTTCTCACCTTCCTGCAGACTCTGGCCTGACAGTCATGGCCTTTATGAGCTGGCCCAGGTGTTCCCTGAGTTAGCCTTCCTCTCCCTCTACTCCAGCCAGGAGGTTCTCTTTAGCATCCAGGGCCACACACCCCGTTTTCTGGTTGAAGTCAGCTTTTCATCTCACCCAGCATGACCTTGCCTCCACCACTCATGCAGTGCTTCCTGATCCTCGGCACCCATACCCTCCAAGAAGTCTTCCCCAGACTGTCAGCCTATTGACATTCCTCCTAAACTCCTCTGCTTATTGCCATCAGTACTACATATATTGAAATACACTGATTTGTATTGTTAATTTATGGACTTTGAATAGTTCTCAACCTCCTTCAACATAATTGTAAGTCATCGAAATCTCTATGGAATATAATCCTTATTCTTCCAACTAGCTAGCGTAATATTAGACTCAGGGCACCTAATAAATGCACTTCGATTAAGGAAGGTAGGAGGGATTAAGGTGAGTACATTGTGAGAAAACTCCATAATGTTCTCACACATCCTACCAAAAGGTTCTGAAACTTCCTCCCTGACCTTGGATAAGTCCATTTCTCTAGACCTCAGTGTCCTCAGTGATGAGATATTTACAGCAGCTCTCTGTTCTGATACTCCATGAGCTAGTATTATTACAGAATTTCTTTTGTTTCCTTGCCTTTCCATTCTCTCTCCTTCATGTGATTGAAAAATGATTTTTAAGGCATTTTCCAAATTTGGCCTCCAAAGGAAAAACAACACACATAGGGGAACATTATGTTCTTTACTTTCCTTGTAGGCGAAGATGTAGGAGATAACCTGCTCAGGCATTTGTGGTTAAGTTAATAAATGTGTGTCAACCCAGTTCCATGTTAATTGTCCAAAAGGTTATTATGAGTTGAATAATGAGGATGGACTTGGAGAAAATAGCCTAGACCCAAGCCCACGGGAATCAAAGTGGTACCTAGATGTTGAATACTCAAGTCCAAACTACACTCTGGCTTCATTCACTCAAGGCAAGAAAGGTTTTGCTAGCCATAATTTAGCATATCTGCTATATGGCTATGTGACTTTAGGAAGATTGTGAACATCTCTGAGCCTGCCTATTGAGCAGAATTAATATGCAGCTCAAATAAAGTCTATAGAATACCAGCCAGGATTTGTATTGTTGTTAAGCATCATGTTGTGGTCTGCCAGAGTCTATGTCTGGCTTTTCCTTTCTCTTTTTGTGTGATTTTGCATAGAACATTCATATGGATTCAGCTTCCACATTTTCAAAAGTTAAGAAGTTGGACTAGACAATACTTTAGGAGACATTCTTGCTTTAACCTTCTGGGATTCTRTGATGTGCTCCAAGCCTTTTGCCATTTACCCATTCTGATCACCTCTTTTCTTGATCTGGTCATTTTTTTTTTTTTTTTTGGAGGAGAAAGGTCAACTCTATGCTGATGGCTTTGGGTTGGGTGGGAGACAAACATTACCAAAGAGAATTGCTCCTGAGAGCTCTGGTGGCCAGAGACCAAGGTGTAATTGAGTGGCATTATCCACACCTTGATGCTATGCTGGCTGGCAACCMAAATCACTGCAATTCCTTCTGGCCTCACCCCTACCGGCTGCTTTCCTCCCACAGGGACCATTGTTCATTTTTTTTCTTGAAAGCATCGTGCCTGTCACCATTCCCAAGACAGTTGCCATGTTGCTTCACTTGTGCTCTCTGACTCAATCTGCTCCTCTGTAAAGCAGGCATCRTAATATTGGTGCCATACCTGACTCAGTTTGGGGTCACAAATTCCTTGAATGCCTTCTCAGGACAAAGCATTGCACATCATGGGAAGCCATGGGGCACAGCAGATCTTGATGCCTTCTTTTCCCTTTCCAGGTTATCCTTCATTTCCAGGCCAAGGACCTGAATTTTGTTTACTTCTCCCAGCTGTGCAAAAGCACATTCAAGTGAATGACTAAAAATGCAACCGCAGCGCATGTTGCAGACMCCGGCAGCCGCAGGGAGGCTGGGCGCCCAGTGAGGATGGGTGATGGAGTCCCGCTGCTGTGAGATCACGTTGCAGTCCAGCACACAATTGCTATCTATCCATAGACAATTCTCGACCAAGCAAGCATGCACGTCACGGGCAGTTACATTCTCAAGTTTTTAAAACCAAGGGGAACTTGTATACTGGGCCTGTTTTTCAGCCTGTTTGCTACCTTTTTTGCATTCGATTCCATGTGGATTTTACAGACACTGGGCTAAAAAGGGTATTCGGACACCGGGACACACATTCCTTGGATATCATCATGTGGCCCTAATTCCCTGTCACCAAATGACACAGACAAGACCCTGTTTACAACTTTTTTTCTTTCTTTTTTTTAATTTCAGATCTTTCTGAGGAGATTATTAAATATGACATATCTATAGCTATGTGTATGGCCATAGATGTATTTCTGTGTGTACATATGTATAGTCATATATTCCTACATATGTACATACAAATACAGAGATATATAAAGTRCATAGAAATTCCTTACTTGTAAATAGCCAAAACGTACTGACATGAATGATGAATTTTCACATTTAAATAGTCATCAACATGAAGCCATGTTTAATGCTTGTATAATGTGATGCAATAAAATTTAAAATAAATTTATGCACATGGAATATTTTCAGCTGGCTGTCCTGAAATTCTGTTGTATTTTCTTCTCATAGACTAAGGGCATCATAGCAGAGTGTGACCTTCAATGTGAGGTCTATCAAACCCGCAACGCTCTTGAGAAATTACTTCACCCTCCAGAGAAGCTATATTATTTTCTTTGTCACCTTTTCCATCTATCTTCTTGGGATATCAAACAGATTAATTAGAAATCACTATGAAGAGCTTGAAAACGCAGTTTGTGGATATTAGAATATAATAATTGATAGTTACTTTTGTGACCCTGCCTACTAGCACGTTCTAACTTATTCTAGGAAGGAGCTGCCTATTTGGGGAGGAGGAAATATATTGTAATTACTGTCTTCTTCAGGAACTACAGAATCTATCTTGTTAAAAGTGTTTAAAATTTATTTTTATTTTAWGTTTTTGAGCTATACAACATGATATTTTGATATATATCACATAGTGAAAAGATTACTACAGTCAAACAAATTTGCAGTTCCATCACATTAATATATGTATGTTGCTTTAACAAAATAACTGAAACTGGGTACTTTATAAAGAAAAGAAATTTGTTTAGCTCATAGTTTGGGGGCTGAAAATTCAAGATTGGGTATTTTTGTTTGTTTGTTTGTTTGTTTTTTGTCCTCTAGTGAAGGAAACTCAGGTTGCAACCTGACATGGCAGAGAAATAAAAAGGGAAACAGCCATGTACAGAAGAAGGTGAGCTCTTATGCTGACACAGGAAACCAGAGAGATTCAGGAGTCAGGCTTGCTCTTTTGATTATGACCCACTATGACAAGAACTACCTGGGATCCCATGAGAACTACATTGATCTTTTCCAGTGACCCACCTCTCTCGCCAGGCCCTACTTCTTAAGGGTTCCACCTGCCTCAACACTGACAACTGGAAACAAGCTTTCAGCACATGAAACTTTGAGGGACRCACAGTCAAACCAGAGCAACTATCTTCCTTAGTTACTTCTGTGTGTGTGTGACCTTAACTACACACCAGTTGGGAAAGATGAGAGTGCCCCCATTACAATGTCCACTAACACTGTCCCACCTTAACTGTGGACTCACCTGAGCTGACTCCCAAGGATCCCATCCCTTGAGATGGGAATCATTGGCCAGAGTGGCTTTGGGTAGGCTTGAAGTTCAACCGTTTCTTACTTTCATCTCTCTGCACTCCCTCGGACCTGATGTTCCAGAGAGTGAAATACTAGRCAGGGAAGGGCCCAAAAGAAGGACATGTACTTTATGGACACTGAAAGACAAGAGGTTATTCACAGGGTTTTCTTTTCAGTCATCGGGTAAAATATTTCTTCCTCAGCCCTGGGAAATAAATACAATGAGAAGCTCCAAAAGACAACTTGTATTCCTGACTCAGCACTGCTCCTTTTGACTGCTGTGCCTAACGCCCCACCCCATGTCCATGGCCGGGGGGTCCTAGGATTTGATACATCCACATCTGCTCTCCTGCTCCCCAGTGCAATGGAGGAATTATGAGCACCTCCTGGTGTTTAGTGGGCCATAAACTTTCAGAAGTAGGTATAGGACCTTTCAAGGCACTGGAAAAATAGGTGAATGTTTATTAAGTATTCCCTTTTACCTGGTCTGAGCACAAACTAAAGCATAAACTGAACTCTAAGGCAAGAAATATCTTGTGCCTGTGGAATTCCACCTTTGTTATTCAAAGTGCCTCAGGCAATCAATTCCTGATCTGTATCTAGCATACAATTCTTTTCTTTCCTTCTTTTATCTCTTCCTCCCACCTTTCCTTCATTTCTTTTCTTTCTTCATTTCTTCCCATTATCCCACTGAGTGCACTTATCCATCTTTCCTGTTTGTGGTACAAGGAACATGTAACAAATATCTTTAAATGCTGTTAGGTATTGGGGTGAGAAAGACAAAGCAGGTTATAGAGGTTCTAATCTCTGAGAAACTTCATAAGAAATAAAATGTTTGTAGGACATATTTTATGAGGCATGAATTTCAATACATATATGGAGTGCACTGATCAAATAACAGTGACTAATGTTTACRTCTCCTCATCATTACTCTGTTTAGAGTCTTCAAGCTCTTCTAATTATTTATAAAATATATAATACATTATTGTGAACTACCATACTCTAAATCAGATATGTATAATTATTACA